TTTTTTTTTGTTTGTTTTTTTTAATCTGCCAATGCAGTATTTCTAGTATTAGTACTAACTATGTGGCAACTCAGAACCAGGCTTCTAGGAAGGTGTCTAACCCCAGCTGTGATAGACATGCATCATGCACGTTAACATCACTTTGTGCTAACCATTAACTGGCCATAAAGATAATATAAAGAATGCTGAGGAAAGACCTGACATGGCTAAAATGGCCAGCTGATCCTAACCTAGCATTAATAAACAAGGACTTCAGAGCATTAAGCATAACTTCCATTCAGTTTTCAGCCTGGGTCTAGACTTTGGTTATGTAGGGCTTTGCAGGGGCCATAACGTGCTTTGAGGAAGATGATTAACATTGCCCTGTTTTCAGAGGTTTCAGTTTTTGAGCAACTGAACTCAGACACCTGGATCTCCTGGTGGAAGGTCTGTTGATCCTTTGAACTCTATTGCTTTTACTCCTGTAAGGTCCCAGGCATCTCAGATGTGTAGCGCTTAGTATTTGCAGCCAAATAAAGTATGACTCAACTTCTCTTGCTGTCTGAAGTTTTTTCTGTCTCCTTGAAGACTTGGCAGAATCCAGTTAAGGGAAGAATGTATGGAAGACTTGTATTTGAAACTTTAGAAAAACTGTAGCGGCATCCATCTAGCTTAAATGCAAAATATCTTGGTATTTTAACTGAAGGAGCTAGTAATAGGAAAAAGAGCCAAAGACTTCTCATTGTAGATGGCATTACTGTAAAAATAGTTTCAGGAAATACACCTTTTGCTTATTTTTTTCATACAAATACTGCCGCAGACAAGTATACTGGCAAAAACATTTGCTGAACCAGCATAATAGGTGAATATTTCACTAGACATTTTTCTCACCCTTCCAATAATTAATTTCTAATACTTATGCTTATTCAGGAAAGGAAACGTTGTATGTCTGGTGAAAAATAGCTGCTGTTTTGCTTGCTGTGTTTACTTGCTCATGAACAAACTATACCCTTTTTTTCTGTGTAACTTTTAATTCGGAACTTGTTTGTACCTGAAGGAGTCTCGAGAAACAGAAGGGAAGTTTGCGTTGTTGCTTACAGAATTTATTTTTTCTTCCACCTGTACTTTTCAGCACCACTTTCTCATATTCATTGAAAGTGATATATTTCTCTGCCATAGTCTGTTTAAAAATGATAATTTAAAACCCCCTTTTGTCTCTGATTAAGAAAATACAATTCTTTTGACAGGTTCTGTCAAATATTCTAAAAGGGCTAAAGGAACAAACTGCCTTTCCACTAACACACTTTTTTTTTTATTGAAGGGTAAGAATATTTTTACTGAATCACAGGTAATACATTCACATGAGAACTGTAGCAGAGATGAGTGAAAATCTTCAGCATGTAAGAAGTGGGGCCGTAACAGGAAAGGAGCAATCCCTGTTCAGTGCCCTGCTGAAACTGAAGCATGCTAGTTCTCACAGTCCTGACGCGGGCAGTTGTGTGTGGAGAGCTGAGGTGGTCAGTAAGAGTCTTGAGATTAGCATCAGGTAAATTTGAACAAGGATCTTAATGCTGAAAAGAAAAACAAAGATAACGAAAATAAATGTCTTTTAAGCCACTAGAGGAAAGTTCAGAAAATGCTGCATTTCGAACAGTAGTTAAATTGTAAATTGAATAACTGAGCTGCTTCTGTGATATTTAACAATAAAAGCAACAATACATAAATCCCACCTGCTGTAATTACTGTCTTCTTACCATGCCAAAAAACATGGACATCTTTCTGAAAGGGACCAGAAAATCCTTGTGGGTTTGGGAGAAGGGAGAGTAGTGCACAGAGAAGGAGAGGCGGTTTTATTTTTGCTGTATGTGTTTTTCTTGTAGTCCTCCTCTTGCCTCTTCTGATTTATATAATTAATAAGTTAATATTTCCCCCTTCATTTGGCTGTCCTGCTGCTGTAGGACATCTTTCAAAATGGCTTTTTAAGAAGAATATAAACAGCTATATTAAGACTGGTTTGCTTGTTATTAAGGTTTGAGTAGTGGATGCTAACTTATGCAGAGCAGTTTAACTTCCAGTACATCATTAATGAGATTGCATTCTGTATCCTCTTATTTCACAAGGCACAGATATGTCTTCTTATCTTAGGAAAAAATGATGAGCTGGAAATGGCTTCTCTACTGTATGATGTTTTATGCTATTCAATCCAAATTCAGTCTTCACTGCAAGTTTTGTGTGTGTTTGGGGTTTTTTTATATTCAAAAAGTCTATCTGCTGTCTAAAGAGCGAGAGCTTGAGGGACTAAAACCTGAACTAGTCAGAATGTATTTGCTAGTAACTGGAATAAAACTCTCTTCCACTGTGAACAAGTAAATCACCAGAGTGAAGTACAGAATTGTGTGATATCATGACTATGTCATGGAAAATTAAAAAAACCCAAATGCACCCAAAACAACAAAACAAAAAAACCCCTAACAACTGGTGGCAATCTGAGGCATAGGTGTTTAGTGTCAGCTGATGGGACTGAGGGATGTTGAGGGTGAGCCATCTAATGGCAACCCATTTCCCACAAGGCACACAAGGCTTATTATTGATTTTCTTGATTTCCCCCCTGGTATCAGTTGACTTGGTGTTTTTGTCATTAGTATCAGTAGGACTACTTAAAAATCTGTGCTGTTCAGATATGCTGATCTCTGCCAAGTGAGTTATTTGCAATGTTGGAAGCTGTGTTTGAATGCTATGTGAGATCTCCCCTGCTAAACTGTGCGCAGGAGAGAGTGAGTGCTGAAGCCAGTAGCTACCATTAGAGCGAAAGCTTACAAACAGTGACTGTGCTGGTCTGAAAACAGCCTGAAGATGCTTATCTATCACCTGAAGGACCCAACTATGCCCTACAACACTGCCATAAGTAGATCTAAAAATTTACTTCTGCCAGATAAAACAGCCCACAGTAGTCAGCCTCTTTAGAATGCAGTAGCGATTCAAAAGAGATGATGGGGAAAATGTTGCTTGTTGTGATGGACTGTCCTTTTGTTTTAACATGCCCTCTTCCCCCAAGTAACTGAAACTCCAGTTATTCAAAAGCATACGGACATTTGTCATTAAGCCTGGCTACTTTCCATGCAGTAGTTTTGGGGTTTTACTGAATTTTATTACAGTTATGTTTAAAAATTATAATGGTGCTGTTTGACGGTGGTGCAGCTAATACAGTATGTTGAGAGGAGGAGAGTACTAGAACTCGTCAATTAATCTCTTGGGTTGTGGTATCATAGTAGTAACAGTGGGAGAAACATCTTGCTGTGTTTGAAGATTGCATGAAATTAGAGCATAATCAAATATAGCAGCTGATGGTTTTTCATGGAAAAATTCTTGCTTGTATTTTTCAGTACCACCAAAGGTGATGTAATTTGCTACTATGGAAACAAAGGAGAGCCAGAACCTGTTTTCCTAAATCCTGGTAGGTTTTCTACAGAAAGGTCTGAATATTACCCTTTATTATTTTAAAGGAGTCAGAATGGAGCTGTATTGCTCTAGTAATTTAGCTATTTAAGCATTGTCTTCACTAACTTTTTCTTTGCATTCTTTAGAAGAAAAAAGTTACATATCCTTAAATTTGTTAAAGTATTTACTAATAAATCACAGTAACAACTCAATAGTTCATTAAAAGCTTCTATCCATGTTAGTGTACCCACTTGCACTGCCGTTAGTGGGATGTTCCTTCAGTAACGATGACTGAAGGACAGAAGTCTGTCTCGAAAAATGGAATTTTCAAAGGTTCATGGACTCGACCCGAACTCTCCGTACCCAGCAGTGTTTAAGGACACAGTGTGACTATGCTTCCGTAGGGACAGTGTTGGGTGGGGGTAGGGAATTTATCTGTCTTATCAAGTGGCTTGATTTAAAATATTTAAAATCTAGTCCTTTGCTAGCTATCTACATAGAACAGTACTCCAGAATCCATCACCAAAAAGCCAATTTAAATGGACAAGGACAGGTAAAAGGCTCTGAGCAGTGCAGCTGGTTAATAACAGTTAATGACAATGGCTTATTTTGCCTGATTAGGACAATGGTCCAAGTGTTGCTGCCAGCAGGCAAATAGTTACTGTAGTAAACAACATGAATTCTTGGAAACAGCTGTTAGATTTTGCACAGCTACAAGCACAAAACAGGTTTTAAGACAAACAAACAAGCAAAAATTTAACATCTGGCCACTTGTTGAATGAGAAACTGAATCACAAATTTTGGGTGTCTGCAGACTGTAGCAGAGGTAATTCCGGTCTCCACGTTTCAACAACAGAATTCTTTTTTTATATATGTGGCTCTCTTTAGGGAGAGCCGAGGTTTGCTAGTCTTTGTGCTTACTTGTTTGGATTGTGGTGAGAAATATGGGATACCTCTAAAGAGAAAGCTCCTATTTGTCATCGAATGTTGCTTTGCAGTGGTTTTCAAGAGTAAAATCAGGCAAAAATAAATTATGATTAATACAGCTAAACTGGAAAAGACTAGACTGCAAAAAATTACATAGTTCTGTTGTACCTTTTTCACAGCCTAGCAAACCAGAGGTTAAAAGTAACTGCTGCAAATATGAATTAGACTAAAACTGTCAACCAAAGTACTGTGTATTAGCAGAGAGGAGCGTGCTTAAGCACAGCCCAGTAAAGATGCATGGCTGCTGTAGTCTTCTGTTTAGGAGCGGGGCATGTGTTTCATAGCATACCTGCTGATAAAGATTACCTGGGGAATCACTTAAATTGCATTAAAATTTGTGTAATCTGTAATGACAACTGCAAATCACCAGTGTACCATTTGCAATTAAATTGATATCCCCCCAAATGTTATTTAGTATGTATGTAGGTGCTATGCAGCTGGAAGTGGTCCACAGGGACTGGTCTGTAAACACTTCATTGTTACTGCTTTTTAATCTTAATCACGTAATGTCCTTATTACAGGTTTCATTAATTTCATGACCTGTAAAGCTTGAAGGGTTAAAGTTGCTTTACAGAAATAAACTCAACAATATCATGATTATGAGTTATTTTGTGCTTAGGTTATGTAATACCCTCATGTTTCTATCTGTGTTGTGTTCTGGAGGAAAAAAAAGGCTTTGGTACTTCACCTGATTTCACCCCACGGTGTACATTGTGTTAGTAACAGTGATGAAAATCTCAAATTCAGCTAATTTTATTATACTTAAAGCAATGATGCTGTGAATTGGGTGTTTGGGAGGGGGGGGTTCTGGTTGTGTGTTGGTTTTGTGGGATTTTGCCCCCTAATAAAACATTCAGAAGTAGTGGTCCAGATGAGTTGTTGAGAAATGGTTAGGTTATTTTATTATGAGTTACACACCTAGGAGACTCTTACTGTCTGAAGGGGTGTTGTATTTATTTTATCCCATCATATACATCTTTGATATATACAGTTTATTGACCTCATTTAGTTTTGAAGCAAAATGAAAGCTAGCAATAGGATGAATAACCAGATTATCATAAGAGATTTGTGATGAATTTGCTGATAGCATTTGTTTCTGTCCCTCAAACTGTGAGGGATAAGATAAACATGAAGTTATTTTTTGCGTAGTATGTGAGTTAATTTTCTTTGCTTCAGAGCTTAATAAGTTCTCTGGGGTTGGGTGGGGTTTTGTATGTGTAGGAATATATGGATTGAGTAATGCATTGTTGGATACACCATGGAAGAAACTTCAGTATGGGAAGCAACTTTTCACAGAAGTGGTCGAGAGAAGTCAAGACCTTACCAAAGAAGAGTTGGTGCAGGAGCTTCTTACAGTGATGAATAATCAAGAGCCGTAAGAACACGATAGCCGGAGTTTACTTAAAATGCAATATGACTAGTTTAAAAATTGCAAACTATTTTGACAGAAAAGAAACTTTTGCTGTATATTAATTGAAAAAAAAGCTGGGTAATGAAGGGCAAAAGTAGTGTTCTTTCTCTCCACAGAGACTGACTTTCAATAATATTGACTTTTAAGCAGCAGACACTGTAAACATTATTACTGCAGGCTTAGTACTTGTAGACTGTACACTGATTTCTCTGTGCTCTTTTCTTTTAAAGATTGCACTTCTCTTGCTAAGGGTAATGAGTGCAAGGCAAGGGATGTGCAAATTGCTTGCTGTAAGCTTTGTGGAGGCCAAGAGTGGGGTAAGGTTTAGTTTCTTCCTGCGCACAGAGTAAGCACTTGTTTACATGAGCAGGTTTGTGTTAGTAGCTTCTCCTATTCTGTACTGCTACCCAGAGTAGACACAGGGGGTGGAGAAGCAAGCCGTCTTCCTCAAAAGTGCAATAATTTTAGGCTAAATAGAGGAAGGAGATAAGGAAGTATTTGCACAGTTCAGCTGTAGGCCTCTGGTCAAGGAAGTTCCCAACGCATTAGTGTGAGTACCTAAGTAAGGTTCCTGCACTCTCTACTGGCTACACAGTGAACTTGAGCCCGTAGCTAGATGTTTAGAGGTAAAGGAAATTGATACTATTTAAATGTCCAGACACAGAGCAGGGTAAAGGAGGTACTGTGGTCTAAATTCATATCATTGCTTACTGTGCAATAACTTTCATGTTTGGCCTGACTTCTACCTGCCTGGAAGGTGATTTGTGTTGAAGCAAAGCTGTTTCTGATATGTAGATCCAATTTCCTAGTTTTATCAGTCAATTTTAATGCCAACATTGATGTTTGTGGCATTTTTTCAGTGGTTCAAAATAAATGTTTACGTAAGAACTGAAAACATCTGAGCAATGAGTAGTAATTGGGAAGTCTGCTAAGCGGTCTTGATTACTTTTTTCATCTGATACCAGATCAAGTGATTTTTCAAAAAATTTTTATCCTTTACCTTTCACTAGTAAAAAGGTATAAGATACAGTACAGTCCAAATGATCTTCCCTTAATATTCAGTAATTGAGTGTGATATCACCTGAAATAATCGGACTATAAAATGGAAATATTTACTTACAAAAAGCAATATTTAAAACTAAGTCTGTAATCTTTCCAAAGCACACTTCAAGATGAAATTATCTTTTCATAACAAATGTGAACACGTTGATATGCACTAGCTTTGAAGTTTCTTAAAATATCTTACTGCATATTACTTTATGATCACTTTGTGTGTGTTACAGGAATTAAGTGGGTGCAATGGTTGGTGGTGGAGTAGGAGATAGAAGCTGACACTTCTCACAGGCTGAAGGGCCCTGGCATGCACTTTCTCTGTTACATCGTGCTACGCTCCAGCCGTGTGCCCAGTACAGGAATGGGAAGAGCTTAGTTGCTCTGTTCACACTAGAATTGCACCTATTCTTGCTTCTCCCTGAAACACCCACAGGTGCTCTTCACCACCACCACAACAAAGAAAATGATCCCAGTTAGGTGTAAAGGTCAGTTACAGTATAACAAACTGCACAGTCTCCTCTAGAGATCAGGATGAGCTCTGAAAATGGCGTTGAATTGATCAGTCTGTTCTGCCCTCTTCCCCAGCATTCACTGTACAGCTGACAGGCTGCTGAATTATTCTTTTCTAGGTACAACTGGGTCTGTGCTAGGAGGCAGAAATGGGATTTTTTCTTGAAGGTGGAAGCATCTTAAAGATCAAACACACAAAACTGCTATAATAATAGTTAAATTGGATGTTAATAAGTAAAACTGGAATCTTGGCTAGCATTTGAGAGTATGTTCTGGTGATGTGAATGGAAAGGCAGGGATGAGGGTTGCTGCAGAAACCTTTGTGACCTTAGCATCTCTTCTGTGGCATGCTGACACTTGTTTAATGACAATAAATGAATCTTGATATGCTTTATAATGAAATTATGTTTCTAAATATCTTTCAAGCTTTGATAAGGATATATGTCAAGAGATTTGGGCACAAGCTCACCTTGTCCTCGGCTGCATCTTCACGAATTTTATTTTAAGGCTTGTCCTAGGTATATTCCAGGTATTGCAAGCAAGATCGAAGAAAGCAGAGAGGTCTTTGACAGAAAAAGAACTAACTCCTGGAGTCTAACTGAAAAAATGCTGGTTTATGTGATGTGCCTCAAATTACTTGATCATTAATGTTTTAATTGAAACTAAAATACAGGAAGACAAAGAATAACAAGGAAAGTGGCAAAACTTGTCAAGATATGAAAAAAATTCTTAAAGTGAAACAAAAATTCAAGACCTTGAAAGAGTCTCTATGGGAAAGAACTTACAAGCTGTTTTATCTTCGGTTTTCCTCGTACTTGAGTTTTGAACACAATTCACACCTTTGTACTTTTGGAAGAGTGATTGTTATTTATCAACGACTCAGTCAACACAGCTTGGTTCAAGAGGGATTAGTGTGTTAATATTGGAGAGTTGTTGTTGTTGTTACTTTACTACTTTTTTTTTTTTCCAGTCAGTTACCAGACCCTGCGATTGAAGACCAAGGGAAGGATTATATACGTCCTATATTGAACAAGTATGCAGCTGTATGTGTTCGTTGCCCAGGTTATGGAACAAGGTAAAAATTCATAGCCAGAAATAGATGTGTACTGGATCAAAGCATATCTCGAATCAAAATTATGCTGCTCTAAGTTTCAACTCCATAGTGACTGCTTTAAATTTGTTCAGATATTAATCAAGTATAATTCAGTAAACTACTTCCTTGATCAGTATTCTGGTGTCTTAGATTTGCTACTGATGAGCATTTTAAGCACACATTGTGGTTCCCCTTTGGTGGGGAGTGTGACATAGCCTCAGTTCATCCAAGACAAGATAATACGGTTCTCCTGGTTCCCCAGTGTAGCAGCAGATCTGACCACCTCTTAACTTTGATCTTACCAAACCATCAAAGCTTATCAAAGCTTTCAAATCATGTTTTTAGCAGAAAAACACAATTATTTCTATATCTGAGGAACCGCAGAACACATTTCCAAGAGTAAGAATAGTTTCATCTGCATAGCTAAGTTGGGGGTTTCTTTAGGCGTGTCATACTACTATGTAGCTGCCGTTTTCCTACATTAAAAACCTATTACTCTTGTTCAAAAGAACACGTATTTCCAGTTTTCCCATAACTGATGCTGCTGTTTTTACTGAGAGATTCTCATTTTCTGCTCAGACTGTTCTACCAAAGGTGCAAGAAGAATAGAATAATGCAATCCATCTTGCATTTAATCCTTGATGGGACAAAATTATAGGTGAACCCTGTTGCTGCTGGGAGGGAATTCCTGCTCTAGAAGACTGCCAGCAATTTTGTCGTACTGGTCTGGCATGGTCAGCCATAGCACTTCCACTATAGAGAGGTAAATTGATAAGCAGAGAGCACTCACTTCTCCAAATATTTGAAGTTGGTATTCTGAGAAAGAAATCACTGCAGAAACTGATTATGAAATGTATTCAAAGAACATTTTAAATACGGGATAGCAAAGACTTAAAATGGTAAAGAAGCATCTTCTTGCCCTTGCTTCACAGGTTGCAGTCTAGCTGTTTCAGGGAAATAGGGAAACACAGGTAACTTCGCATACCTCTTACTGGTGAATTAACACTGTATTTCAAGTCTTCCCTGCTACTATAATTGTATGCTCACGCTTATCAATGCTTAGCAACATGGCTTAGTGAATAGAGATTGCTAATTAGGCCTCACGATATTCATCTGAAGAAATAAAGCACGCTTTCATACGAGTGAACAACTGTGAGATGACTTGGGGAAGGCCACCACATCAGGGTGGTGGAAAACTTCTACTTCTGTCAGTCCTCTCTCTGGCAGGGTACTGCGGTGCCCACAGAGAAGTGACAGCTTACACGTGACAGAGTGACGTAGATGCAGGAATGGAGTCTGCTCTTCAGGAGAACAAACTTCATCTTTGAAAAGTTCGTAGAGAGAAAAAATTTTCTGAGATCATGTATCAGTGTCCTATGATAATAATTGACAATGTTTAAATTTCAATGAGCAATTGATTTGAAAGGGAAGAATGAAAGAGTACTATTGATATGAATAACCCATCAGGGTACGCATAGGCTGTGAAGAAAAACTTGGGTTTATACTACTTCTGAATGGAACACTTGGCACTATAAAAAAAGTTTAATATTTTATCGTACCCTCTGTAAGTGAGCAGCTTTGCGTGTCAGCCACTGCCAGTGCAACAGGGAGTCGGAGCAGTGGAGTGGCAGATGAAGGGACTGAAAATGCCCATTTGAACTTGCCAGGAGGATTTCTGCCCTGCTGGTGTGCTGATGATGTGGTCAAGAAAAAAAGAGCTAATACCTTTGGGGATGAGGGATGGGACCCTGCAAATTTATGGAACGGACACAAGGCTTAACCTTCTACCCTTGTGTTGTTTCAGGACTAACACGGTCGTTCTCATTGATTCAGAAGGATGGGTTACTTTCACAGAGCGCAACATGATCAATGCGGATGTCAACCAGTGGAAAACAAGCACCTATGAATTCAAACTGCACACTTAGCAACTTTCCATCTGAATGGTTTGTAATAAGAGCAATGAGAGAACAAGCCATTAAGCTCTAGTAATTGTTTTGTGCCAGCCTCCACAAGCTAAAAATAGCAAGGAAAGCAAAAGTTTAAATTAACTGGCAGCATACTCTATCAGGCTCACAAATACATTGAATAAAACCTAAAGGAGAAACGGTTTTTACGTTAAGTAGCAACTTATAATCAGAAATAAATTTTAAAATACTGCTCTGCCTGCAGGGCAAGGCTTTCTTTGCTCAAGACAAAGTAATTGGGTTTTTTGTGGGTGTGGGTTTTTTTTTCTTTTTAAAGATGTTTTTTAGTAGACTTTTAAATGTGCTTTCAGTTCAGAGGCGGGGAAACATTTGCTGCTGTTATTGTTCTACCTGAAGGCTTTACCGCACTGCTTTCGCTTCATCACATGCTTTTAAGATTGTATAGCTGATGCCAGTGTGCATTAAACGAATGTATGTTATTTTTGTAGTATTAACTGATTCAGTAATGCTTAAACTTTTCAGCAGTGCCATGGTGCGATGTTCTGCCTGGGGAGGGCAAAGCAGAGGGGATTCTTTACATTTGTTTTCCTACAGATAGTACAGCAATACATCTTATTTCTAAACTTGATTTGAGAGGAGATAGGAAATAACGTTCAGTTTCAGTTCAGCTTTACTCAATAGAAACTAAAAAAATCATAGGAGCAGGCTTGCTTATCTTTGACTGGAATAAAATGATGTATATTGTGACATCTTGTTTCCTGATAGTCCAATTAGCCATATTGGTTTTCTTCTTTTCTTCCTCAGCAGGCAGGTAAGGAGGAAGTATCTGTTTGCAAACTGAAGCTAAGTATGAAGTCTACATGTATCAGCTGTTCATACATGTGTAATTTTGGCTTTATTTATTGTATAATGTGTCAAACTGGAGTGACTGCTCATAGATTTTTAGTAAAAATAGCTATTTGTTGTAAGGTGACATTATTGCAGTCTTTATATTGCTGAAAAAGTTGGACATTGAGATGCACTTCGTATGTTCTAACATCTGTGAATTAAAAAGCTATTTAAATGCATGCTTTTTTCAATTATTCAGTGCCACTGTAGGTGATAGAAGATTCTGGCTAATATCAAGATATTTTAAAACCCCAAGTTATTTTCCTGCTACTGGTGTTCTGTTTTGACTTACTGTGAATTCTGAATAGTAAGTTAATAATGGATCACTGCTATTTTTATATACATATAAGCTGAATGTATTCTTTCTACAAGCCTCTGGGTATTAATTATTACAAAGTAGCAAGATTTCTGATACTATTTGCAAAGATGTGCAACTATTCTCCTGTACTCAAGCTTGTGTGTTCAAGCATTCTCACAAGTGTGTGTGTTTGCGTCTGATGGAGGAAGCAGTAAATTCGACTTGCCATCGAGGTGAAGTACTGTGAAAGGCCATTCCCAGACTAATTGCCAGGAGATGCTAAAGCAGTATTTAGTCAGCTATGTCCTTTGTATTTGCATATTTAAATCGCTTCTAGATAGCAGGACTGCTTGCATGACTCGTCACAGGTTGTTCAGTACTATATAAATGACTTGTTGACCACCTCGATTGCAAGACGATCAGTATGATCTTGTCGGGTTGTACGTGGTTTCAGACTCAGCCTTCCAGACTCTTTCTGAGCTGTAGGAAATGGTTAGCCCTTTTTTATTTTTGATGGCTGTTTAAATCATTTATTTGTATGAATAAAAATGTTACCGTTAAATGCACAGAAATAGCCATAGCTGTCTTAAATTTGAATTTGACAACTGCATATTTAAAAACACAACTTGCCATTGATGGCTTGCTCCTACTGAGAGTTTGCGTATCAGACTTTTTTGTATCTTCAAAAAAATCACCAATGTAGATTTAAATAAGACATTATCTTAGACATTACCAAAATGGCAAGCAAAATGCTTGTGTGCCATTTCTTGCTACAAGCATTTATAAACTGTAGTTTTATAATAGTTCTGTAATAATGAAATTTTTTTCTTGTTTTTTATGTATAGGCAAAAGAAAAGCAAGTCAGAGCTTAGATGTAAAACCAGATGGTAGTAGTGTATTTTGCTTTGTTTGAATCGATTCTAAATCTGGGATTTGCTCTTTCTGATGGTTAAAATAAACAAAGAACCGATATCTCTAATGTTATTTTTTTATAATGTCAGAATACTTAATGAATTGAGCTGTTTTTAACTTCTTTGGAAGCTTATGAGAGTTTTGCCGTTGGCTTCAGTGGAAACAGGATCAGGGCTGCAGTGCAGACACCAGCAGATGGTGCTTGTCCATAGAAATGATCAGGTATTCGTGAAGTGCATAACTTACTGTGTGCTGATTTGCAATGAATTCACTGGAAAGAGTAAACTGTAGTTAAAGTTAACAGAACATTTTATTTTTATAAAAGTATTTTTAAAAATAAAAGGTTTTTAAAAATATCCATTTTAAAGGATATAAAGGGGAAAAAAGTGTTTATAGGAAACTGTTGCATGGCCTTCTACTAAGATTGCTTACATATAACATCTTTTCAAAGTCACAAATTTGCAAGAGATTTTAGTTTCCTGTCTTTTTTCTATCAGAATGGTAGTGGAAGATATTTTAAAATAACTGTAGAAACGGAATTGTATTTTTTGCTTAAATTTGTTTCATAATTGTTGTTTAAATGTGTGTTCAAAACTAGAATCAGAATAAAGTCAGTCTGGTGATCAGTCTTTGTCAACATGAATAGATTGTGCATTTTTGCACATAAGTTTTTTAATTTGTCTGTAACTATGTGATAAGGTGAAGTAAGATCTTTCACGAGGTGTTAGAAATGGAAGAGCTTTAAGTCCATTTCTGGTACTTAATACCTTGTTAAGATTGCTGTATCTTTCTGGGGCTCTCGTTTGTTTTTTGTTGGTGTGTTGTTTTTTTAATTCTGTGCTGTTGCATGATTATACTGACACAAGACATGGTTATGTCTTCTCCAGGTAAGAAATTGGAAAAGACTTCTATAAAGCTAATAATCCACGTTTAGGGCATTTTGCTTTGTTTTTCAGGTTAGTAAACAATGCATTGACTGGAATGCTCCTAGATGAAGTGTCACAGTAATCAATTCTCTGAAATACTCTCTACCTTCTGACGAGTGGTATGTGCCCACCATCTCCCCTCCAGAAAGCGAATGTCCCCTTGTTACTAGCCGTGGTTGGATTCCATTCCAAGCACAGCAAGATTGGGTAGAAAGCATAAAGGTTCTCAAACACTGAATGTCTGAAACGGTGTCTTGAGCACCTCTCTTCCTGCCATGACTTCAGGGTGCTTGGAATCTGCTTTCTCCCTTGCAGACTGGAGTGGATCCTTCAAATCTTAATACCAGAATGTGCCAAGCAAGCCCTTAAAGGAAGAGGAACTGGCATATTCTTGTCTATGAAATGGTGGAGCCATCTCAGAGCTAGTTTTAGTTTTACAGGCAGTGACCCTTTCAAACTGAGTCACTTTGAGAAGACAAGCAAATGGTATTGTCCTTTTTAAGGTGCCAACCCAAATGAAATCTAAGGGAGTTCCCAATATCTGCAAAAAGAAAAGCTTTATGAACTCATGAGCCTCCAAAGTTGTTGCTGTCAATTCTTGTCCGTAAAAAAAGATAAATTTGGTCTGGGTTACTGGTCGTGAAATTAGGTGGTTGCATCAAATGTTTGTGGCAAGAGAAGTTATTAATTATCAGGCATTTTGAAAATTAGTGCAATGATAAATATATGTTGAAAGTACTTTGAGGGGCTCAGGTTCCCCTCAAAAATGGACATAATCACAGCAGAGATACAGTACAGATAATAGAAAGGGAAGAGCAAAACTAATGCATCCTCAGTGAAAAGCCAGAGCCTCACAAAATGCTGCTGAAGGGTAAGAATCCAGATTCACTGTGGAGAAAGTCTGGATCTTGGGCAGACCTGACACTCTCTTGTTACACTGTGTTGAGACTACCGTGATGTTCTGCCATACCTGGACACTGTGGTGGAGATGTCTCATCTCCCTGTTATCAGTAGCTTTTATTAAATACACACTGAACAGACCAGAGAATGAATTAGGCCTTTGGAGGTCCTCACAATGTTCAAAGCTTAACTGATACTTCTTGTTACAAATGAAATATACCAAACTGTATATTCAGACAAAATATTGATAAGACTTGGAATACTGTTTTCATATTATTATAATGAAATGAGCAATTTCAAGATGAATTGATTAAATACTAAGCAGTAATAAGGCCATAATTAAAGCATCTTACATTTCAAATTCAGCATGAACAACTTAAATAATGCACACTTATGGCTTAGCAAGAATCCCTATTTATGTCTAATATTAGCGAGTAAGAATTAGTTTTTAATCATTCAGATTCATGTAATAGAACATTGCTAATGTTCTTCATCTGATTCATTTTCTGCAGAGAAGTCTTGTTGACAGCTACTGAGGATTTAGGAAATGATCTTACCTTGGTGAAAATAGAATCTGTATTGTAATCAGCTGGAAAGGTAACAGAATAAACTGAGAATTACATAACCCACCAGTATGCCTCATGCTGTGAAATGTAAGTGAGGGTGAACAGAGTGAAGAAAATGTTGACTATATAAAACGAACACACAAAGTAACTATCTCCAGAACATCCTGTATCAAGAACTTTGAAACAGAATGTAAAAGCAGTATCAAAGTACTCAAATTTACCATATCTTTTAAAACAGAAGGCATAAGGGCTGAACTTGGGATCATAGATGAGTGAGAAAAATAATTATGTGAACTTTCCTGTTGAGTAGGACAGGCAGGAACTGCAATCTGAAAGTCATAGGCAACATGACTAAGACAAATGCAGTTTCTGATTCACATTAAATTTTTGTGCCTTTGTACTAGAAAGATAAATAGAGAAAAACAAATGCAAACTGAAAACAGATCAGAAGTTGGAGAAATGAAGTGGAGGAGAAGGCCGTACTTCATGAAGTTAGCAGAGAACAAATAGAATGAAGAAAATGTGTTGTGTTGAAAAATGTTCGGAAGATTATCTGCAGAAGCTTGAATGGAAAAAGAGTGGCTATTTTACTAGTAGACAAAGATGAACTGTGTTGCTTTAAGACATCCA